AGTCCTGCCGTAAACCCGCACCTATAGGGTATAGGGGGCGCCACAGTCCTGCCGGATCACCATAGCAGCAAAGAAACCACATAAGCTGTTAGGGGTCAAAGAACTGGCCCTTTGTCCAATTTTGAGGGGGAAACACATTGGCTAAATTAATAAAGGCTTTGTAATTCCTATAACTTGGTCTCCCGTGGGCAATATATCCAATCTTGGCCATTACAGTGGAAATGTTTGGCACAGTCTTTCCTCCAAGTTTTACATTAACATTTCCTAAAATGTAAGTGAAAGTTCTGTTGCTCATACACAGGATGAAAAATGAAGGGTTCTGTGGCCCCGTTCATGTGTTGTGTGCTCCCCTGTGGCGGGATGCAAATTCTGTACTAATGCGTCTTGGAAGCCTAGGGTTCTTGGAAGCCAGCCCTTGAAATCCCCACCAATGAGCCGCAGTACCCAGCCCATACAGTCTGGCCTTTGCTGGGCTCGTGGTGTCACAGAGTCCGGTCCCTCAGTACCACCCTGCCTCTCTGGTAGTGCAGGTACTGAGCAGAGAAGTATAAGCCTGACAGAAGGGAAAGACAATTTCCCACTCAGAGTGAATGACTTCACGTGGTGACATTTGGGGCATGCCCTGGCCTCCTCCACGCAGGCCTGCGCTGCTGTGCCTGTGCAGTTTGCATCACTAACACGGACAGTGCCGTGCTCTCCATTTAAGCATGCAGAACTCCATTGCATTTAGTTTACCTTGAGTATATTTTCATGTCAGTGAATGCACCATTTTAATTGCCAAGCAGGGTGCTGTGGAGATGGCTCAGGGGTCTAAGTGCCTGCCTGGCAAACCCAAGGACCTGAGTTCGATCCCTGGTACTGCATACCATGCTTGCCCCATGCCGTGCCAGCCACTGAAAACAGACGTGGTGGTGCATGCTTGTAATTCCAGTGCTGGTGAGGCTGAGACAGGAGGATCACTATGAGTTTAAGCTGTATAGCAAGATCCTGAACCAAATAAATAGATAAATAAATAATAAATAATCACCATCATCTCAGATTCCCATTTTTGGATTGGGTCTTTGAATTTTGGGGGCCTGATTTATTTTACTTCTTCATATATTTTAGATAGAAATCCTTTGTCTGAATGATTGCTAAGACTTTTTTTCCCCAACTTGTGGACTGTCCTTTCACTCTGTTGGTGATTTCTTTTGACATGCAGAAACTTCTCAATAAGATGAGATCCTAGTAGCTGATTCTTTGAAGTATTTCCCATGCAGTTTGTTTTTTGTTCATGAACTCTCTCTACTCCTATGTCTTGAAGATTTCCACCTACTTTCCCTTTCAGATTTAGTGTTTCTGTTTTAATGTTTAGATCTTTACTCCATTTTGACTTTCAGTTAGTTCATGGTAATAGAACTGGATCTAGTTTTAGTTTTTGGCATGTGGAGAGCCAGTTTTTCCACCA